CATGTCTCCTCCTCCTCCCTCCATCCGTCCTCTTCATGTCTCCTATTCCCTCCATCCTTCCCTCTTTTACTTCCTTCTCTTTTTGATTTTATCCTTATTTCATGTCCTTCTTTCCTTTCCTCATTCATTCTACATTCATACTCTTCTTTATCACCTTCAATGCTTCCTTCCCACTTCTCCCTTTCCTATTTTTTGTGCCACATCTCCGCCATCCTTCCTTCTATCTATCCCTTCTTCACCTCCTTGCATCATTTCTTCCTCAGGTGTGGACACTGTAAGAAACTGGCTCCAGACTTTGAGAAAGCAGCAAAAAAACTGAAGGGAAGCGTCCAGTTAGCAAAGGTAACGTCCCCATCGTGTGGTCTCTCCACACCTGTCTGTCTCACCCGTCTGTCTCACCCGTCTGTCTCACCTGTCTCAGGTGGACTGTAGTGCTCACTCAGAGACCTGTGGTCGTTTTGGAATCTCTGGTTATCCTACTCTGAAGATCTTCAGGAACGGGAGAGACTCCGCCCCCTACGACGGACCTCGCACTGCAGGTAACAAACACACACACAAACACACACACACACACACACACACACTCTGTGTTTATGTGTGTGTGTGTGTGTGTGCAGATGGGATCTATCAGTTCATGAAGAAGCAGACGGGTCCAGACTCAGTTCACCTGAAGACGAAGGACGAACTCCACAGCTTCATCCAACACTACGATGCCAGTATCATAGGTACGACGCTTCCACCTTCTTCGTGTGACATCACCTCCACGTCATGTGACATCACACGATGTTCTTTTTTGTTTTGCTCACACTTACAAAGTCAAAAGCCGGGTCAGGCTGCCCTAACTCATCCGAGGTCTCCGTGGACGAGACTTAGATTGTGATCAACATCTGGGTCTTCTGATGACGACTCCTCGTGTGCAGCGCAAAAAGCTTCGGAAATACTTTGTGCTTTTCTTCTAATGTCGTCTGCTCTGGATCGTGACGTCCTGTATGTGGTGAACACAGCCGTCCATGCTTCGCTGAGATTTATAACAATCTGTAAAGCTCCTCGCTGAGTTCTGTTCTGAGGGAGGATGAGCTGCTCTGAGTCTCTGGTACAGCTTTAGAAATGCTCCCTCAGTACCTCTGTGTCTGAACTGTGTTGGGTCTCACTCTCTGTGTTCTCAGATTAAGTTTTTTGCTTAATCTGCAGCTGCGACTTAAAGCTCGATGTAACGTGTGTGTGTGTGTGTGTGTGTGTGTGTGTGTGTGTGTGTGTGTGTCAGGTGTGTTTTCAGGTGCAGGCAGCTCTGCTCTGTCAGAGTTTCTGAAAGCTGCTGCTCTGCTGAGGGAACAGTTCAGATTCGCTCACACCACTGACGTGAAGCTCGGGGACGAGTACGGGGTTCAGTCGGAGTGAGTCTGTGTCAGCTGTCAATCATGACGTCTCAGCCATTTTCATGTCAACAAATAACTAGTTAAACCCAAACTGATCAGAAACACTACTTTGGTTCATGTCCCATCTGTTAACGTGGAGGAGGTTTATGACCTATACTACAGCCAGACACCAGGGGGCGTCCACCACAAGTTCTTACAAATATGGTTATGTCTGGTCAAGATGGCTCTGAACAATCTATTCGTTTGAATGTTGAAACATGTTTGGTCTCTCCTGGAGGAGCGTGTTGCTGCTCCGAGCTCCCAGACTGAGCAGTAAGTTTGAGGACAGCGTGGTCGTCTTCAGAGATCACCTGACCATCGGATCTCTGAGACGCTTCATCAGAGACCACATGTAAGACTTCACATCAGTTTAACACAAGATGCACAACTGCCTCACTCTGCTCCCCACTCACCTGTCTCCGTCCGTCTCCACCCGTCTCTGTTTGTCTCCACCCGTCTGTAGTTACGGTCTGTGTCCTCACATGACTCTGGAGAACAGAGATCGTCTGAGAGTTCATGACCTGCTGACGGCGTACTACGACCTCGACTACCACCACAACACCAGAGGCTCCAACTACTGGAGGAACAGGTAACACGCTCACACAGCTAATCCACACACGCTCTGCTACCTGACGACAGGTGAGTGTAAGCCCCTCCCCCTGTTTCTTATCGCCAGGGTGATGAAGGTGGTGTCACAATACACTGGGCGGGGCCTGACATTCTCAGTAGCCAATAAGAAGGAATTCCTGTCTGAGCTGGAGGACGACTTCGGTTTGGGAACATCGGACGGAGGAGAACTGCCGTTTGTCACGATTCGTTCCAAACTGGGCCACAAGTTCACCATGAGAGAGGAGTTCACGTACGTAACCGAAGGTTTGACGTCTTCATATCAGTGACACTCATCACGTGTGTGACGTCACTCGGGCTGAGCCAGTCAGGTCACAGTGGTGTTGTCAGGTCAGGAACCAGGACTCTGATCAGCTGTGTGTCTTTCAGGAGGGACGGTCGGTCCCTGGAGAGATTCTTAGACGATTACTTCGCAGGTCGACTGAAACGTTACGTGAAGTCTGAATCCGTCCCTGAGAGAAACGCAGCTGCTGTCAAGGTGAGATGGAGCGAGACGCTAACTGTTCTCATTCATATTGTACGGTGTGACCTCTGACCTCCCTGGTTGTGAACTGCAGGTGGTTGTTGCTGAGACGTTTGATGACATCGTCAATGATCCAGATAAAAATGTTCTGATCCAGTTTTACTCTCCCACCTGTCCACACTGCAAGAAACTGGAGCCAGTCTACAGAGAGCTGGCTGACACGGTACGTACATCATCATCATCACCTTCATCATCATTGTCATCTCCATGACAACCAGTGGCCGGAGGAATTTTGTGTCTGTCTCATTGTTATGAACATTTAAAGATGAACTAATGAGAGGTCAGTGGTGAAAGGTCAAAGGTCACAGTGACCTCATATGAGTCTGTAAATAAAATATGTGTGAACTGAAAACTGTTCTGGTTGGTGGAGACAAACAAACACAGTTTCTAATGACGTAACTTTGACTTCCTGTTACTGGTTCTGTTTTGATTCTGGTCCTGATGAGTTTAATGTCTCTCCCACTCTCAGCTCTATTCTGATACAAACATCGCCATCGCCAAAATGAACGCTGTTGATAACGACGTCCCGCTGGGTTACGATGTCCAAGGGTGAGTCCAGAGTTTCTCTATGAGACGTGTCGAACCAGGACAAATAACATGTTCATTAGTTTCCCTCTATCTCTGTCTTCAGCTATCCAACCATTTACTTTGCTGCGGTGGGTAAAAAGGACGAGCCTGTACGATACGAGGTAACACAACATCTGAGAGGGGTGGGGGGGTTTTCAGGTGGGTGAGCAGAGGAATGACATCACCTCTGTGTTCTCAGGGGGGTCGAGAGCTCAAAGACTTCCTGAAGTTCCTGAAGCGTGAGGCGAGCGCATCGAGGGACGAACTCTGACACTTTTCCTCCACGGATCTGACCTGACTGCTGGTGTCCATGACAACAAACACGTCGGGGGAGGACGAGACAAGACGCCTGACCCTGCTGACAGTGGAACGCTGTGTCCGACACCTGTCCACCAACATGTCATGGCTCCTGTCATGTGACTGTGAGCTCTACCTTTTTGGATCAAGGGGACGTGCTCAGTGTTCACACGTGTTGTTGGTGAATCTTGAAAAGCATCCTGGGAAATGTAGTTGACACATGAGTCTGCCTTTTTAAAATCGACAAGACAATATTCAGCTGACTTTTAAACAACACAAACATTTTTACTGAAACTTTATT